GAGGAGGAGGAGGAGGACGGGTCGCCGAACTAAGCCCTTCGGAGAAACCCTCCAGGCCTGGACCCCGGGAGCCGAGCGGGTCGGGCGGCCCCCCGCGGCAGCAACCCCCCCCCGTCAGCACCGGGCGCCTCCTCCTGCAGCAGCCGGGCGTGGAGCTGCGCCTGCCGCCGTCGGCTGAACTCCTTGGCGGCGCGCCCCGCGGGGACCAGGTGCACGGTCTCCCCCCGGGGCCGCGGGCGACCCGAGGAGGAGGAGGAGGAGGAGGAGGAGGAGGCAGGAGGAGGAGGGAGGAGGAGGAGGAGGAGGAACTAGGAGGAGAGGCGGAGGAGGAGGAGGAGGAGCGAGACGGGAGGGGGAGGGAGATGGAGGAGGAGGAGATGGAGGAGGAGGAGGAGGAGGAGGAGGAGGAGGAGGAGGGGAGCAATCAGGAGAGGAGGAGGAGGAGAGGACGAGGGAGGAGGAGGAGGAGGAGGAGGAGGAGCGAGAGGAGGAGGAGGAGGAGGAGGAGGAGGAGGAGGAGGAGGAGGAAGACGGGTCGCCTTAGCACTTCGGAGAAACCCTCCACAAGGGTCAAGCGACCAGGACTGACCAGAAAGGCGCGCGTCGTGCAGAACTCGAGGCGGCTGATTCCCAGACCCCTCGCGCTGCGCAAAAAATCACGACGGGAAACGTGTTTTGCTATTTTCGGCTTCCGGGGGCTCTCACCGGGCCTCCGGACCGTCAAGAACCGACGCAGGATGAAAAACCGGTCCTGGGGAAGGGGTCGAGACCTCGGGGGGTCGAAGATGTGAAAACATCGTGACGTCGGTGGTCTGGTTATTCTAGGAGGGCAGGAAATCCCCTCCCATAGTAATCACACCGACAAGCGCACCCGTTCAGGAAATGCACCCGTAAAGGGAATCGAACATTAAGCAGGGACCGACCGTCCCGACGTGTTCTGGGAAACCAGAAAAGTTCTAATAACAAAAGCAATGCTCGTAAAACATAAACCCCATGTGTTACAGTAAAGCAAAACAGCCCCAGCCAGAAATGTTCTAAGACCATTCCGTGCAGACCACAAAGGGTTCCCAGAACATTCTTGGGTGGGCCTACAGGCGAGCCAGGAGGCTTCGCCACTGCGTGAGATCAGGGCAAGGCTTTTTCGTGAACGCCCAGGATCGCTCAGGTAATGCGGGATAACGATTAATAAAAACATGGGAGAGAACGATTAAAAACATTGTAACATAGTTTTCTGCTATTTCTGCACAATTTTCTGACTGGAGGAGAACGATTAAAAATAGTTAGTTTTCCAGCCCGCGGCCGGTTTTTTCTAATTGTCATCTTGGGCGAGGCCGCGTGAACACGACCCCCGGTCATTTATTAATCGTCATCCTCCATTAACGAAGACTGTCGGGCCCGGTTGGTTCTTCCTCCCTTGATTCTCGCCGTCGTGAAAACAAACCGGACGGCAGCTTCTTCGCCGACGTCGGCCTCTCGGAGCCCTCCCCGTGGCCGCGGGGTTGGTCAAACAGGCATGTGGCTCGGGATGAAGCACGGGTCCCGGGGAAAGGGGCGTGGTTGGTGAGCGCTGTTTTGTTCGGCGTTTCGACAGTAGGTGGAAGGTGAGGGAAGGGGTGGGGGGCCTGTCTCCACACCTCTGCTGAGTGCGACCGTTTGCAGCACTGGGTCGTATGAGGGGAGACTCCACCTGCTCGAAACAGGCGCCCAAAACAGCCAAGATCTACTCCATAGGGGGGGAAGGGGAGTTTGGGGGCCCGCGCCGATCGGCAAAACAATGAATAACAAAAACGATCACTTGGAAACATCGGGGCGTCGCATGTCTGGGAACCTGGCGGCGCGCACAAAGGGGTAGGGGGGGGGGGCTTGTCAGAAAGAACGTGCTTCTTAGAAGGCGCTGGCCTATTTGGTTCGATTAGTGTTCTGGTTCGATTTGGTCCCGGGCCATGGGGCCGCCGCCGTCGCCGAGCGCCGATGAAACTCCTGAGCGGGGGGGGACCGAGATCAGAGCCGGAAAGGCAAAAGCCTCAGGCCCCTTCGCGCCGTGAGAACTGAAGAGGCCCAGGGACACACAAATAATCAAACACAAATCCCCGGATCCCCAACTTTTTCAATTTTTTCTGGATGTTCGTCTTCCCATCCACTTCCTAGATGCTCCATATTTTCTTGGGTCCCAACCTATTCAGGGCAAACGACATTGTGAACATCGTGGCCACGCACGGGCTGCTACTCAGAAGCGCAGCTGGTGGCGGCCATCTGCGTGTACGTTCACGCCGAGCACGCCGACAGCAGCATGGACAGCACCCGAGAGCCAAGGACTGCAAAAGGCTGAACTTGGTGTTGTGCCGGGTGCGGCGGCAAAAGCCTGGCATCAATGTGAGAAACTCAAGGGCGAAGCCCCTTGAGGGGCAGAAGATCTCTCAGCGGAGCGGGGGAAAACGGGGACCAATGGCCAAGACCGAATGCAAAAACGTCGTGCCCATCGTGGTCACCGTCCGTCTTTGTCAGCACCCGTTGGTGTAACGTCGACGCGAATTGGCGCAGGCTGGCAGGAACCATGACCAAGATCAGCGTCGACAAGATCCCGGGACCAGGTGGGCCCCAGAAACGGCAGGGCCGTTTTTTCACCATTTCCGAAAAATACCCCTTGAAAATGGAAACGGTAAAAAAACGGCGACCCGAAACGGCAAAAAAACGGCACCAAAATTGGAACCGGACCGGTCAACAAACGGCGACGGAACCAGTGAAAAAAAACGGCATCACCGGCAAAAACACGGCAAAACGGAACCGGTAACAAAAACGGCCCTGTCGTTTCCAGGGCCCACTAAGCCCGGGACATCTTGGTCTGGTCGGCGTGCCACTTCCCTCGGCTCGGGGTCATCACACAATGGCCCCCGGCCTCAGCCTGTCATGCATTATAAGGTACAACACATGCACAATTCTCCTCGATCCTCCTCCTCCACCTCCTCCACTCCTCCTCCACCTCGTCCTCCTCCTCCTCCTCCGCTCCTCCTCCTCCTCCTCCTCCTCCTCCTCCTCCTCCGGGGCGTAAAAGGCCCTGCGGAAGGAGCCGACCTGCACCGAGGCTGTGCGCAAACAGCACGAAGCGCGCGCCGTCTGAAACATGGCGAAGGTGAGACGAAGCGAAACCCCGCAGTATCCCCAGGGGAGCGGCGCGCGGGCAGCCTCGCTCTCCACGCCGCGCCGCACAGGAAGCCACCCTCCCATACCTCTGGGATGGAGCCGATAGGATGCCAAATGCGAACCCTACCCCTACCCCCCACGATTTCTGAGGGGGGAGTGGGGTTCACTTCGTTCGGGAGCTCCCGAGCGAAGTGAACCCCACCCTCCCCATCCGAAATCGTGGGGGGCAGGGGTAGGGTTCGCATTTGGACCCCTAGCCGAGGGACCAAGGCCGAGCCAGTGCTGGAGCCGCACGGGGCGGAGGTCAGCGCCAGTCCTGAGGGGCCCACGGGGCGGAGGAGCAGGAGCAGCTCTGCTCACGGAGAAAAGCCTGGAGGGAGCGGGGAGGCAGCAGCACCCGAGGCTCCGCCCCCATGTGGGTGTGGCTGCCCGAGCCCGGGTCTCCACACCAGGCGCACTGCCGCGGGTTCGTCTCGTGACGTGGGCGTGGTCGTCGCGGCGGCTGGCGTCGACGAGCTCGGCCGCACGGCCAGCCCGTGGTAGCTGAACTGCTTGCTGTAGAGGAGGAGGAGGAGGAGGAGGAGGAGGAGGAGGAGGAGGAGGAGGAGGAGCAGGAGGAGGAGGAGGAGGAGGAGGAGGAGGAGGAGGAGGAGGAGGAGGAGGGAGGGGGGGGGGGGGGGAAGGGCCGCGCAGTGGCGGGCCTGGGGGCACGACCCAAACCCAGCACCGCCGCGGAGCGCCGCGGCCAGCCGCGGCTGAGGCCCTGTCGCAACGGCCCCGGAAGAGGCCAGAAGGCCCCTCAAGGTCATCACACAATGGCCCCCGGCCTCAGCCGGTCACGCTTTAAAAAGTATGCCACATGCACAATGATCCTCGATCCCCCTCCTCCTCTTCCTCCTCCACGATTCCTCCTCCTTCTCCTCCAGGGCGTAAAAAGCACGGCGGGCAGAACCGACCTGCACCGAGGCTGTAAACAATTAGCACGAAGCTCGCGCCGTCTGCGATGAAACATGGCGAAGGTAAGACAAGAAGAAACATCACCGCATGCAAGGGGCAGCGGCGCGCGGAAGATTTGCTTTCCACGCCATGTCATCCAGACCACCTGAACGCCGGGCCCCCGGGCTCAGGCTGGCACGCTTACAACTTAGAAGACTATTGCAAAGGAGAAATGGAGACAATGCCCCTCAGCAACAGCGGTCGCTGTCCATGGACGCATCTGGGTCCCATGCCCTCGCCGCATGGTTTATAATTGACAGACGAGTCTTCGCAGACACACGCTTCGGGAAGACCGCGCAGATTGGCGTTGGAATCCCTCCCTGGCGCGCTTGGGGCGGCGCTGGAAAGGCCTGCACGAAGGTCATACGCCGCCATGAGCGCCGCCGTGGAGACCAGGCGTCGAAGTGCCGCCATGTAGCGACGCAGTGAGCCCACCTCCACCACCTCCAAGCCCAGACTCACATACATATTCTTGCGCAGTTGCAGTTGCAATGATGTCTGAGGCGCCCCCAGGGCCTTCGGCAGCCCCCCGACGGAAAAGGAAGGAAGATGTTCAAGTAATCATATTGGTGGTGGTGGTCAAATCAGGGGACGCTGTCGCGCTGGCTGCCAAGCCTCCTTCGCACCAGCGCCTTCGGCTTGCCTCCCACGACGCCGTAGTACTCCTCCTGGAACGCCATGCGGCAGCCAGCCATCCGCAGCACGGTGGCGTGCATATTCGCCTCCTGCACTCCTCGGCTTACCTGCAAGCCCACCGCAGGACTCCCACAGAAGGCGATCATGGAGCCGCCCGTGGTGGCGCACCTCTCGTGCAGAGTGTCCCTGAGCACGTCCGACATCCTCTGGACCACCCACTCGACAACGTCGGGGCGCTCGAAACGCGCGCAACTCTCGATAGCCGATCCCTGGATGAGCTCCCGGAGCCTCCGCTCCTCGGCTGGGGTCACGCCCGTGATATAGATGTCGAGGCCGAAGAGGCGATCCAGCTGCCAGCGGCTGAACTTCTCGAGCAAGTCCGTCATCATGTCCTCGAGCTCCATACATT